GCCCCTCGGCCTCCCCTGCCCCACACTGCCCCCCTAGCCTACACTGCTCCCCACCACTCCCAACCCCCCCTGCCCCCCCAGCTTCCCCACTGCTGGCCCCTCGCAGCCCCCCGACCTGGAAGTGGGCAGAGTACTGCTTCAGGGGGTGGAGCTCACAGCCCAGCGTGCGGTAGCTCCGGTCCAGCGGGTGCTCCTGGCCATGCAGCTCTAAGCGCTCCAGCGTGGCGGCGATCTGGATCTCGCCCAGGGCCTGGGGAGTCAGGGGTCACAGGGGCATGGACAGACAGAGAGATGGAGGGACAGATTTCCGATCCCCCACCGCCCCCGCTCATCTCCAGCAGCTGCACCTTCTCCTGAAGCTCCTGCCATGTCCGGATCAATGGGGGTGTCCCGAAACCTGGGGGTGTTGTACTTAAAGTACTGCACAGGATCTTTTCAGGGGGAATAAGACAAAACGACCACATTTATTAGTAATACATGTATTTATTAACACTGTATCATATGCATATAATATCTTACACTTACACACACACACACAAACACACTCCGTCTTGTTGTTACCAATTAGTTGCTCCCCTTAACTTTACTGGCCAGGTGAGTTAGATGGGGGAGGGGGTGGAGCCGGGCTTCTGCCAATCTGGATTGATGCTCCCATGTTGACAAGACGAGAGCCGGGGTTCTCTGCAAGACACCTTACTTTTATAGCAGCTTTCCTTTTATGCAAATTTATACCAGATTCAAACTCTGTCTGGTTTCAGAGTAGCAGCCGTGTTAGTCTGTATCCGCAAAAAGAAGAACAGGAGTACTTGTGGCACCTTAGAGACTAACAAATTTATTAGAGCATAAGCTTTCGTGGACTACAGCCCACTTCTTCGGACACGTTTTATTGTCCTTGGGTCTGGCTCCCAGCCCCTCTCCAACAGTTGAGGCTGTCTGGAGGTGCTGCCTTCCATGCCTTGCTCATTCACACCTCATTCATTCAACAGGGCAATTGATTAAGTGAGGGGGGAGAGCTCTTGTTCTACTGCTAGCAAAAAGAAATTTTTCTTCTATCTTATTCTATCCTTAGGGCCTATAATATTATACCAAGGGCAATGCAAAGTTTCTAAATGAGGCTTTGATACAAAGTCCCATGAAAACAGAGGTCACACGTGGGTAGACCCACCACAAGGTTATATGATGAGGCAAAATGTAAAGTCATGAAAATTATCAGAGATTTATCTACAGGGGTGTGTGTGTGTGCGGGGGAGAGAAGCAGAGTGAGCCAGGCCTAGGGGGAGTGGGGGGGAACCTAGAGCCCCACCGAGGAGGCAGAGCAGGGCAGGGTAGGGGGTGCTTGGAGGGGCAGGGTTGCCAGGTGTCCGGTTGTTGACTGGAACACCCAGTCGAAAAGGGACCCTGGCAGCTCCAGTTAGCACTGCTGGAAGGGCCATTAAAAGTCCGGCTGGTGGCACAGTGGGGCTAAGGCAGGCTCTGTGGGGCTCCCGGAGGCAGTGGCATGTCCCCCGTCCAGCTCCTAGGCATTGGGGCAGCCAGGGGGCGCTGCACGCTGCTCTCACCCCAAGCACTGTGGTTCCCGACCAATGGGAGCTGCGGGGGCAATGCCTGCAGACAGGGCAGTGCATAGAGCCGCCTGGCTGCGCCTCCACGTAGGAGCCAGAGGGGGAACATGCCACTGCTTCCAGGAGCAGCTTGAAGTGAGCATCACCCGGAGCCTGCACTCCCACGCCCCAACCCCCTGCCCCAGTCCTGATCCCCCTCTCACCCTCCAAACCCTTCGATCCCAGCCCAGAGCACCCTCCTGCACCCCAAACCCCTAACACCCAGCTCTGCCCCAGAGCCTGCACCCCCAGCTGGAGCCTTCACCCCCCTGCCCTCCGAACGCCCCTGCCCCAGTCCAGAGTTCCCTCCTGCACTCCAAACCCCTCATACCTGGCCCAGCCCCAGAGCCCTCACACCCCCTGTACCCCAACCCCCTGCCTTAGCCCAGTGAAAGTGAGCGAGTGAGTGAGGGTGGGGAGAGTGAGCAACAGAGGGAGGGGGGGATGGAGTGAGCAGGGGTGGGGACTCAGAGGAGGGGTGGAACAAGGGTGTTTGGTTTTGTGCAAGTAGAAAGTTGGCAACCCTAGGCAGGAGGTGCTCGGAGCGGGCGGTGGGCACTCGGCCCGCAGAACCGCCTCCACCTTCTGCAGTGACTGGAATCCAGCACGGATCTGCTCCACCGTCAGCTTCCCTGGGGGGAGCGGGTCAGAACCACCAGCGCCCGGCACCCCCCAGGGGCCCCCTGACTCCCCCCAGATCCCCTGCCCCCCAGAACCCTCTCAACCACAGCTCTGATCTGCTGGCCCCCGCCACCCCCAATCCCTCCCCTACACGCCCATGGGGGGCTCACCGAGAGGAGCCTTCTTGGTGTCATCCTTCATCTCCAGCACCATCTCCTCCATGGCCTGCAGGTCGCAGATCAGCCCCAGCAGCGCTTGCACTCGGGGGTCCAGTCGTGAGGCTGGTTTGGGCTGGGAGGCCCCCGCGCAGCTCGGCTCTGCGGCCTGGGCGGGTGGGGAGAGGGGGGAGAGGGGTGTTGTTACTGGGTCTCCCAGCCGTACCCAGAGCACCCCCATCCTGCCACCCTGTGCACTGTCGCTGTGACCCAGCTGTGCCTGGCGTCAGATTCTCCTCCCAGCTCCCTGGGGGATGATTAATGACTAACGAGCTTACACTCTGGCAGCAAGGCCTGCCCCGCCCCAGGTGCCCGAGACCTGCTCACCAACCGGAGCTGGGCCCTGGGAGCCTGAACCCCTTCCCCCAGCTTCCCACAGAGCCCGCTTTACCCACTAGGCCCCACTCCCCTCACAAAGCCAGGGAGAGAACCCAGGAGTACCTGACTCCCTCCGCTCCATCCGGCGCTGGTACCCAGGTCTGATATTGGTCTGGGTCATCTGTGCTGTGTCCAATGTGTAGCGGGTCCGGCTGAACGTCACCTCTAAGCTGGGACCCCCGTCGCCACGCTGCGCTCGCTCCAGCACCAGGCAGGTATCGGCAGGGCAGCCACTGCCCCTCTTCGTCCCCCTGCCAGCACCACACGAAATCTGGGCTGCGGGCATCCTGTTAGCTCCCTGCCAGCGCTAACCCTGCAGCTCCCAGCCTCTGGGGCAGTGATGGTGATGGGGCATCGGACCCAGGTGTCCAGGTGGCTGAGCAGGACGTTCACCCCCGGGGGCCCCACAGCTCCCAGCCTCTGGGGCAGTGACGGCAACTGGGCATAGGACACAGGTGTCCGGGCAGCACAGCAGGGTGCTGACCCCTAGGGGGCTCCATAATTCAGGGGAGTGATCAGGACAGGGGTGGGACCCATGCATCCGGGACGACACTGCTCCCCCCGCCGGGGGCCCTGGGCACTCACAGGAGTCCTGGTCCTGGACAGCGGCTGCCACACATCTGTCCTGCCCCATCTGTCCATCCCGCTACACCATCCGCCGCAGGTCCACGCGGGAACCCACAGCCACGCTGGGCTTCCCTGCCCTGGGGGGAGATGAACACGGCACAGAGCCTGACACTCCCCCACCATAGCCCAAGCCACGACACCCCCTACCCCCAGGGCACTCACCTGGCCGCCTGTGTCAGCACCTCGCTCTGCTCAGGCACGAAGCGATGCCAGGTGCCGCCGGAGTCCTGCCACTCCCAGCGCAGCTCCAGTGCCAGGCCCGCACCCCCCGCCTCGGCTGCCCTCTGCTTCCGCCTCATCCTGGGAGTGACAAGCGGGGCTGGCGAGCAGAGAGAAGGGAAGCAGGGATCCACAGACTGTGATCCCCAAGCTATATAGCTCCATACAGATCATCCTACTGAAATCCATACAGCCTGTATGGACCAGTACACACACGTCCCAGGCCATATAGCCCCATACAGACCATTCTACTGCCATCCATACAGCTATGTAAGAACCAGCACCCACCCAGGACATATAGCCCTATACAGACCATCCTACCAAGATCCATATAGCCCAGTATGTACCAGCACAACCCCACCCCCCCAGGTCATAGAGCCGGCCGTGCCCCCCTAGATCCCCACTTCGTGTGAAGACGTCATCTAGTCCAGCCCCCTGCTCAAAGCAGGAACAACCCCAACCAAATCATCCCAGCCAGGGCTTTGTCAAGCCGGGCCTTAAAAACCTCTAAGGATGGAGATTCCACCACTTCCCTAGGTAACCCATTCCAGTGCTTCACCACCCTACTTTTCTCTAAATCGGAAAGTCTTTCTTTCCCCAAAACGGATTC